CTGAAGCGGATATGGCTTCATCCATACCATACATACATAGGTTTAGTTTTGATATTTTCTAAGTGGGTCCCTAGCCCCATGTATAGGAATTTAGACTCGATTCAGTTGACTTGAGTGGCCTCAAAGGAGGATTTTTGGTGCTCGGTGGCTGTTCTGTTAGATGACACTACTACTATTACTATGTTCAGCGAAAGTTTGCAATGAGGAGAGAGAGGGGGTGGGGGAATTCAGCTGGTGATGCTGCTTTGTTCAGCACATGAGACTGATTTTCTTGCAATCGAATTAGGATATCAGGGAGACCAAAAGAAGAGGATGGAGAGTGTGTGTATGTGTGTGTTCAGTGATTTATTTATGTTGTTCTATTTGGTTTTGGACCTGTTTATGGACTAGGCCAGGCCAGGCTTTCACTCTGCGTTAATAGATTTTTTCAAGGCCTGAACCTGAACCCGGCCCTCATAAAAAGCCCAAAATTCAGGCCTTGGCCCGAACCCAAAGTCTATAGCTCATGCTGTTGCTATTGTTGAAGCGGTTGAATATATATATATATATATATATATATATATATATATATATATATAGATAGATAGAGAGAGAGAGAGAGAAATTATAAAGAAAAAAAATAAAATATATATATATATATATATATATTAAATTATTAATATATATATTATAATAAATATTATATATTTTATATTATATAAATGAATCGGGTTGGTCTGACTTGGGCCAGGCTTTTTTGAAAATCCCGAGCTCAGTCTAAAATACAATCGGGCTTGGTGTTTTGGACATAAAGTCAGGCCCGCATGCCTAATTACATGTCTAAGCCCAATCAGGTGTAGGTCGGGCCGTCGGGCTACCCGGCCCATAAACAGCTATACAAGCGAAGTAGAAAATGGTTTTTTTTTACTCTACGATACGAGTGTCAAGCTTAGCTGTTACCTGCCCATTAATATTAGCCCAGTACGGTAGTGACTAGACCTGTTCATGGGCCGGGCCGGGCTTTTACTATGTATTAACAAATTTTTTTAAGGCCCGAGCCCGAGCCCGGCCCGACCATTGGGCCTACAATTTGGGCCCGAGCCCGGCCCTCATAAAAAGCCCGAAGCCCGAGCCTGGGCCCGGGCCCGAAATTTAGCCTATATTATTATTATTATTAATGTTGAAG